GGCTTTCGACCTCCCAAAAAATCAACTTTTCAAATGAAACACCCTTTGGCCTATTTTATAGGAACCGATTCTGTGATAGGCACAGATCTGGGCGGGTTGGCTCGGTCTTGGCTGAGCCACCCTGGGGTGGCTCGGCCTTGGCCGAGCTACCCTGGGGTGGCTCGGTTTTGGCCGAGCCCCTCAGGGTGTTTGGGTTTCGTCGTTTTGTCCATTGTATCCGTTTTTCGGTTGACTTAGACTCTGATTTGTTGATCTGATTTGGCAGTAGATCCGATTCCTGTTTTGGCAGTAAATCCACTTCTGAGTTCGAGTCCGAAACCGATCTTGATTCGGTCGTGATTCATCCGAGTCCGCCCTTGGTTGGATGACTCGTTGACTCTTCAACCCGTTAGCTTGATTCCGCACGCGAGTGGATTTATTCCGTTGTTTGCGTGCGGTTCATTAGCTTCGTAGCCTCGTTAATGCGCTTCGTCGCGTATCACTTGGCTTCGGCGTTGTGGACTAACAATCGTGTCTGCATACGTCGCCCGATGGTCGGTTCGTCGAATTGGCGTTGTCGAGGTGTGTTAAGGGACCTATAGGCAGTTTTATACGCCTACAATGATACAGATGCAACCATTAACCAAGCACATAGTGCAGAAGTGCAAATGTCAGAGAATTTATTTGTGGGATTGAATGTAGGAGGTCCAAACTATAGAGGCACAATTCCTAAAGCTCAAAACTGGCCTAGTTTTTGGACAAATTATGAAGGAGGCTATCAGAGTGATCAAAGAAGCAGTAATGATGAGGGATCATTCTTTGATAGTGATCATGAAGCACCTGAGACCAATATGGATTCAATTAAAAAAAGGAAGAGTGAAAAAAAGGAAGAGTGAACTACAAGTATTTCAATGAGAGAGTGGATATGAAAGCTGTGTATTTTGAGCCAGGTATGCACTACATTTATTATTTCATTGTTTTGTCTTAATTATAAGTATACACCATTGCTCTACTAATCATTTGTGTTTAATTTCTTTTTCAGGGTTGAAGTTTACTTCTAGGAATGTCTTAAAGTAGGCTATTCTACATTATTCTATTAAAAGGCACTATGATCTAGTGTACATGAAGAATAACAATAAGAGGATTCACCTTGGCTGTTCACTTTGCTTTTGGGAGATGACTATTGGTCCAGATTATCATGAGGCTGGTGTTTGGCAAATAAAATTTATCAATCATGATCATACTTACAGCAGGATTTTTAAAAATAGATTAATAACTGATAACTGGATTGCACATGTTTATCTTGATAAAATTCTGAGGGATCCAAAGATGAAGCCAATCAACATTTTATCTGACATTTATGAGAATTTTCAAATTAATGTGACAATGAAAAAATATAGGAGGGGGAAGGAGAAAGCTCTAAATGCAGTCCAAGGATTAATGCAAAGACAATATGGTTTGCTAAAACCTTACATGAAAGAACTAATGAGGTCAAATCCAAGAACTACTTGTGTTCTGAAGGTGGATGAAGGAGAGCCAGGACAACCAAGCACATTTCTTAGATTTTATGTTTGTTTTGAGGCACTGAAGATGAGTTTCACTTTGGGGTGTAGAAGAATATTTGGTCTTGATGGTTATTTTTTAAAACATGCTTGTGGAGGGCAATTACTTTGTGCAGTGGGGATGGATGGTAATAACCAAATGTGGCTCATAGCATGGGCAGTGGTTGAGGGGGAGACAAGGAACTCATGGCAATGGTTCCTAAGAATTTTGACTGTGGGGAGACAAGGAACTCATGGCAATGGTTCCTAAGAATTTTGACTGTGGATCTAAACATGAATGATGGTAGTGGTTGGACAGTTATGTCAGACCAACAAAAGGTTTGTGCAAGATTATCTTTATTTTTATTTTTCTTTCATTAACTCATTGTAATTAACTATGTATGTATTTTAGGGATTGGTTCCAGCTATACATGAAGTGGGGCCAAAAGTTGAGCATATGCAATGTGTTAGGCACATTTATTCTAATTGGAGAAAAACTCATAGTGGGAGGGTCCTTCAAAGTCAATTCTGAAAATGTGTTAAAGCCATCTCTGTGCCAATTTTTGCAATTGAAGCTGCCAAGCTAAGGAGAATTTCATAGCAAGCTTATGAAGACTTCATGGCTAGAGACCCCCACACATTCTGTAAGTCTCATTTCAAATGCCATAGTAAGGGTGATGTTGTAGACAACAACATGGCCGAAACATTCAACTCTTTTATATTACTTGCAAGATATAAACCTATAGTGTCCATGTTAGAGGATATTAGATTATCTATAATTGATAGAATTAAAGAGAAAAATGAAACTGCATAGGATTTGGGGGAGGGGGGGGGGGGGGAAAGGGGGAGGGGGGGGAATGCACCTAGAATTCATAAGAAGTGGAAGGAAGCATATGAGGATCAAGTTCATTGTCGTGCCCATTGGAATGGGGATGAAAATGAAACTGGTTTTAAGATAATCCATAGAGGGCAAAGTCATGCAGTAGATTTGAAAAATATGACATGTACATTAGGAATTGGGACTTGATAGGAATTCCATGCACACATGCAGTTAGTGCTATCTTGCTTATGAGAAGGAAACCTGAAATGTACTTATCAGAGATGTATTCTCAAGAAAACTATTTGATTGTCTATGGAAGAATGTTGAATCCATTACAATGGAGTAATTATTGAGATACAGAGGGAGAGGGAATGGTGTTACCCCCAAATATTGTTAGAAGGCCAAAGGGGAGACCCAAAACTGTTAGGAGGAGAGATCCATCTGAAGGTTCCAAGCATCCTTCTAGGTCATCGAGGCAGGATTAACACAAAAGTTTAGCAATTGTCATAGAACAGAGCATAGAAGACCTAGTTATCCTGATGCAGCAATACATCCTCCAAGGCCAACACATCAACATGTATTAAAATGATAATTATTTAGATATTTTTAATAATCTCATATAGATTTACTTCTAAGAAAATCTAACTTCTCCATTGATTTACTTCTAGGAAAATCAATCTCAAGTTCTTGATGAAGGCACAAGTGGAAGGAAGAAAAGAGGAAGACCAAAGGGGAGCAAAACCAGACCTAACAATTCCATTGAAGAGCTTAGTCAAACTAACCCTCTTCCACCATCTCAAGTTTTCATAAATATAAGAGCAATGGCTAGAGGTAATGAACAATACATACTCTTGTGCACTAAGTTTTCATATAGATTCCTACTGATATATGAATTTGTTATGTATTCTGTAAGCTCAATCTCAAAATGCTAGAGGAAGGAGTGATATACGACGGGCTGAGGCAGAGGAAAAAATAATGAAGTCATTATGCCAAAGGGTTTTGGCCTATGGCATGGTGATCATGGTGAAATAGCTTATAGAGATCCAAGTGTCTCTCAAGCAACAATCATACAAGATTCAACTCCAATTTTTCAACCCAGGATGTACACCAAGAGGAGCATACACAGGCTTCATGTGCACATAATAATGGGTTGTAATTATATGTAATTATAGTTTAGCTTTTGGTAATATATAGACTTTATGTAGTTGAATGACTTTTTACTTGTTGATGGTGACTGTAAACATGACAAACACATACTCTTGTGCAATGTGACTATGTGCAAATAGTTAAACTGATGGTGATCATGAAAATCTGGTTATGTTCATTTTGCAATGTGTATTTCTACACAGCTTGTGGTTACTGGTTAGTATGTTGATTGTGCAATGTGAACATGGGCTTCTGGGCATGAACTTAAACTTTTGAGTATGCTTTGTCACAGGAAAACTATATTGTACAGGTTTACTCACAAAGAAAATTCATGAAAATAGGGTATACCATGCCAAAATTTTCTGTTAAACATTGACAGATCTTCATGTTCAAAGCTTCTTCTCATTAAATTCAATAATTCATACAATTTGCTCTTAAACATTACATGCCCATGTCCATAAACAAAAAAAATACGCAAATAAAAACTACTACAAACAAAAGTGATATCAAACTTCCTCTCTTGAACAACATCATCCTCCTCTTCTCCAATTGAAGCAAACCCTCTAATCTGAATCTCACATCTGTCAAATTTGATATTTCTTCCATAGCGCAAGCATTCTCATCGCATAAAACCTAGAGCTGGTCTCTAAACTTGGCATTTTCAACATGGCAAGCCTTCACTTCGGCCTCAACTCTTTGAATTTTCCTATCCTAAGCTTCAAGTCACTCCTCAAGTTAATTATTTCATCTCGTAGAATAGGAAATAAAGTAGAAGACACATTGCACACAGGTTTATCAAACCATTCCCACATTCCATAGCCACTATTAAGATTCTGACATTTATAAAACCTTCTCCCAGGATTCTCATCTGTAAATGATGTATAATACCCACAATCCATTCCACACTTACAGATTTTCATGCCAACCATCCTTGCTTACTCATTCCACATTCTAATACCAACCAAAGCATTCAAACCATGATTAATACTTACATGCGATCCCAATCTTCCACTGACCCAACTTGCTTTAGAACGAGAGCTTGAACTTGATGACGACAACATAATAACTTCTCTTCCACGCTCAATCACAGCTTGAATGCCCCAATTTGATAAACCCTAGTTTTTTCCAATCTCACCCAAACAAGAGCTTGAATCCCCTCTTTTATTCTCCCAACTGCTTTGTCCATGTCAGAAAACCGTGCCATATCAGCTGTTTAATCACAGTTTAAGTCATCACGTGCAACGCACGTAACGAGCTGTCGCCGGAAAACTAGTCGCCGACGAGAAAAAGAGCCTTGTTGGTAAGTTGAGTCAATTAAAGTGCCTTAAAACAGTTTGCCTAATTAAAATATCTTCTTGGTAAATGGAGTGAAATTAAAATACCAATATGGGTATTTAGCCGCAAAAAAGATAGGTTTTGCTTGATATTTAGCAGAACGGTCGGATACTACAATACCGACAAAACGTCCAAAATAAAAAAAATGCAAACCCGACCCGATTGATGAAAAGATCCGACTTCTTTCGAAAATCAAAAACCTCTCGAGCTCAGAAACTAGGGTTTTGTCAAAAAAAGAAAACCAGTGAAGAAGCTCGAGTAAGAAGAGAGCAATGGCGAACGACAGCGACATGAGCGGATGGACTGAGCTCCTCCACTCCTCAACCAAGATCTTGGAGCAAGCAGTTCCTTCTGCTCAGTTTCCCCCTCTTCAGGTCACTTTTTCACCATCCCCCTTCTCCATTCTATTTTTTACTGATTTTTTTTTTTTTGATTTTTTTGGTTGGCAGTGGAATCTTGATCAGCTGGAAGCGATGTCGAAGAAACTGAAGTCGAAGACTCTTAGGGCTGACACTCCTACTCAATCCATCGCTGCCACTAGGTATACCTCAAATTTCCACTGTTTTTGGAGTTCGATTTGTAGCTATTTATATTTACACATTCATCCCTCAATTCTTCCATATTGAATTCTTTGCCTCTGAAGGATTCTAAGATTTGAGGGGTATTTTAACTCAACTTGGTAGATTTTGGGGTGTATAAGCAAATATCTAGATTTGGGAAAATTTGCTACTAGGGTAGATTTGATGGGTCTATGGGTGAAAAAACCATATGAGATTATGCGTTTGATTGCTGAAAGAGGGCATATTATTATTATTGATAATAGACTCTTGGCTCGGGAAGGGATAAATGCGGAGCAGTTGGCTCGGGATCTCAAGTCTTTTGAGCTGAAGGTGAGCTTCTCTCTGGATGATTTAGATGTGCAAATACTGTAAATTGTGTGTTTCTTATTGTTTTTTCCCTTTCCCGTAGACCACTTTTGAGGATGTGTTTCCTTCAGAGGCGACGACTGTGGAAGAGTATTTGCAGCAGGTATATTTCACTTGGACACTGTTGTTTTAATGTGGTTTAGAGAAGAAAATGACTTCTGATGAACTGACTTGTGAGGGCAATAACTACTTATCCATCTTTTTTGTATGAGTGTGTTGGTTGGTGGCAAACCCTTGTATTTCATTAATAAGAATTCAATGGAACAACCAAAAAATATAGAAGTACATACAACCATAATCAAAGATAGCCACAACTACATAAGATAATACTACAAAACACATGACCTAACTAAAGGAGATATGGAAACACCAAAAATTCCATGCTTCCCTCAATCAGACACTTGTCCTTTCTCATGATGTTGCATGCTCCCTCTGACACCCATTCTTCCCTTAACCTTCACAGTAGAATAGTCTAAGAAGTCGTGATCCTCATCCTGGTGCTGAAGCAAGTTGTTCACTGTCATTGCGTGCTCCTACTAGATGGGAACACCATAGTCTAACATTGGTAATGAAAACATAGTAAATCTTAGAGCTACTAGATGTCAATTTATTGAAAAATAGATGTAACCAATATGAAGTTGTACCCGTACCCGACACGTATCAGTACCAGTACTGAAACTCCTTGGACACTCCTTGCATATATGTGTGCATTTATTTGGGCATGTAGTCAATTATGCAATACATATTTTCATTTAAAATACTTGTCATATATTTTTTATACATATATCCTATACTTTACATCCACTTCTTGAAACTTCTTGAACTTAGGTCAGGTTCCGAATTATGATTTTGAAGGCTCGTTTGGATGTCTAATTTAACACACTAGTGATTTTCCAATTTATAATTCACCTAATAAAAGAAATATAAAAATGTTATAGGAATTTTAATTATTATTGTTGGTTCTCATATAAATTATTAGTTCTAATATATAACATGTGTATATAAATATTTATATATTCGTGACCCGTACTGTACCTTCTACAAAATTTCCATGTCCAGTACAGGTACCAATACCCTTACCCATGCAACATAGTTGAAAATCCTACTGGACAATAGAATCTCCATAACAAACTTTTAAGGGTGAGATGCGAGTTTAGGACTATTTTAGAAATTTATCATTAGCCTAAGAAGGAGCTCGCATCTAGCCTTAATTTTCAGGGACATGTTCAGTAGTAACATAATATGTAGTTTACCATTTTAAGCTATCAGCTTCCACAATAAAACAAGCTTGTATGGAGATCTGACTTATAAGGGTGAGATGAGAGTTTTGGACTATTTCAGAAAACTACTATTAGCCTAAAAAGGACCTGACACCTTACATTAATAGTGAGGGGCGTGTTTAATAGTAAAATAATATGCAGTTACCATTTTAAGTTATCAGCTATCACTATAAAACATGCTATGAATTTATGGAGATATGGAGATAGGGGTACAATGAAATCTAAACCATCATGAAGGTTAAATTGGTGGTTCTCATCTTCATGTTCTACAAAGCTAGGAATGCATATACATTTGGAATATCAGTTCCTTATTCTCGTCAATGCACAATCTCTGTATTTACAGAATGTTACATTGACCACTCTTGAAGTCCCTGCAACTATACCAAAACTTTGAAGTTATGGTGAGAGTTGAGGTTACAGTTTTATATTCTAACACGCCTCCGCAGGTTGAGCACCCTTTTTTTTATGGCCTGAAACCTTAACTCATGCAACGGTAACAATTATTTAAAAATCCGTATTAAATTTGTGACCAACAAGATTTGAACCTTAGTTGTTTTGATACCACCTTGAAGTCCTTGCCGCTACACCAAAACTATGAACTTTCCAAAGTTATGATGAGAGTTGAGGGTTATAGTTTTATATGCTAACAGCCACGATCTATATATTTATGGTTGTATTTCAGTATCATATGATGTGATTTGATGTCTTAAGTATGACACAACAACCTGGTGAGTGCTTTATTCTTTGTTATATAAAAGGCAAGCAGTACTGACGGTTCCCTTGGTTAAGCTTATGTTCCCTGGTCTCATAGTCTTTTTCTGCAATAAAATGAAAAACTAATCAAATCATGTTGCTTAAGCTGATAGGTCTTGCATTATCACTATCAATTGTTGTACCTTAGTTCTTAAAGGATAAGCAATATCATAGGCATGTCAAGTGTAATTCATTAAAAAATTGCATCTTTTTCACCTGTTTTATCTTTATGTTAATAGAGTGCTTTGGTTCCATCTATTCTTACTTTTGAATCTGCATTGATGTTGATTGTTTATATGGGTAAATAGCAAATATGTGATGTATGAACTAGACAGTTTTACTTTTCTTCTCAGTGAGTTTATGTCTGCAGGTTCATGAAATGGCTATGGTATCATCAATTCAGGAAGCTCAAAAGGATAACTTGCGAAGCTTTAATGAATATATGATGCAAGTCTTAGAGGTTAGATTTTGCTTTGGTGAAATATTGTTTTTTCAGGTTGGCATTGACTTTTTTGTGTTCCTATGGACTGTTGCTTTTGTGAATTTTATTGTTAAATTAACTCACGTTCTTTCTTGATTATTTATTTTAATAGGAGTTAATTTGATCTATTAATTTTGTCTTTACTGGACTAGATGACCAGTTGATGTGCTAAGACAATGCTTTTGATTCATTATTATGATCTCCTGACATGTTTGCTATGGGAACTTGTGGAGTTACGAAATTAATAATTGCAACTGCCGGCTATTGAAATTTGATGCTAATAAATGTATACACCTACATTTATAACTACTACATGCATACATAACGCGAAAATGCAAGCCTCAAATATTTTATAATGATGATAAATCTTGCATAAAATGCTGTCCTGAAGCATTGCTTCTCATTTTTTACCACAACGCAACGGACACAAATGGCTTTAAGGTTGAGCTTTTCACTTTATGCCTTCACTTTTTCTGACATTGCAACTTCCAGATCCTTACTGTAATTCCTCTCCTTAGCACTCAAATTGTTTGTCATTTATGCTTCACTTGCTTGGGGGTTAAGCTCTTTTCTTTATCCTTTCACTTTTACGAACATTGCAAATGACATATCTTCTTTTACTGCCTTAATACCTCCTTGCTTGGGTCTAACCTGGTCATAGTAGCTACTTCAACTACACTATCATCCTTTTATCTTGTGTACTCAACAATGCCTCAAAGTCATGTATAACTGGAGAACGGACTTCTATACTTCCTATCTTAGATTTTCATAGAGTGCTGCTCCATCGTTCATGTTTAGATACAATGAAGATAAACGACCATTCACAGTAATCAGTCATGAATATAGGCTGAACTTGAAATAGTTTCACATCCTGTTAATTCGTGTCTAAATCTATGAGTAACCAAATATCATCAGAGCTTTTCTTTTTGATATTTGGATTTAACAACTATACATGGTAGCCAAAAGGTAGCAGAGCTTTTCGTTTTGATATAGGCATTTAACAATTATACACACTTCACTATTGGCAATAGTTGAATTATGTGGTTTTAGTGGATGATAAACCAACATACAATCTTTCATGTTGAAGACAATTATTTCATGTGTACTGTAGGTTGTCTTATTCATTGGCATCTGTGACTTTTGTTTTTGTATGCGTCTCTATGTGTAATGTATTTATGCTTGCTTAGGGAACATGTAAAAAGAAGAGGTGAAGAGCAAAAGAAGAGGTAAAGCTCTTCACATGGGATGTTGTATATTTATAAATTGGTATGAAGGAGTTTAACCTTTTGCAGTTTGTAATTTTAGAATAACCAAAACTGTCTCATAGAATTAAAGTAATGTCCATTAGAAAAGGAAGCAACAAGAGACTGCCAAACTACCTGATGATTACTGTATGCAATATAACAAGACAATCTAGGAGAAACTATCCAAAAAAAAAATCTGAAGATGGCATGATGTCCATGTCAACAAGGGTTCATCGAAGAAAAAGTAGTAAATGAAGTATAATCAAAGTAGTCAATAAATTTCTTTCATACTGTTGGTTTACTTTTTTCTGTTTTAACTGTCTTAACCTCATGGTCCAAGCAACTAAGTAATGGCTCCCAATTTCATCCATACAAAAAATTGAACGCATTTCATATTTGTCAATCAAATGGTTGTTTTTTTTAACGTTTCTATAAGTTATCTCCTCTGAACATAAGAAAATGGGTTTGAGGAAGTATAATATTTTTTCTGAAGATCGCGTATGGCATATAGCTTATGTTTGTATATTGTTTTGTCTATATTTTATAACTGGGGTCTTAAAGTACTGTGATCCACTGATGGGGGTTAGTTACGTTAGTTGCAACCAATGCTACTGTTGCTTCATTAAATTATACAACACAATCATCCATTCCATTTTTTATGGTTCAAAGGTGAAAGATTTTCTTGTTTGTCGATTCTTACTCATGAAAGTTACTTGATGGGAATAACTTGTTTAGTGAGAGTGTGTTGTGATACGTCTTCGTCTTGTCAGTGATTTTCTAATTTACCTAAGGCACAAATTTGGTTGGGGATATTCATGAATGATGTGAAGTTATAGTCACATACATTTACTTGGAGAGCATGTTCGAGGGAGTGCTTTTTTTTTTCTTTTTCTTTTTCTCCTTTTTGATTGTCCTTCTGTTGATATAGTATTTGCAACTTGCAAGTGCTTTCTTATTTACTTCAGGAACTCTTTTTGATTGTCCTTCTGTTGATATAGTATTTGCAACTTGCAAGTGCTTTCTTATTTACTTCAGGAACTGTTTATGAAGTATGAAATGATTGTATAGTATTTGCAACTTGCAAGTGCTTTCTTATTTACTTCAGGAACTGTTTATGAAGTATGAAATGATTGTAATAGATTGGGTTATGTAATTGTTTTTGAGGTGGATCATTTTCAGTCCTAACAGTATACTTTGGATATAATATCTGGTTTACTATGTAACTCGTGTTAAAAACCAAGGGAGTGTGTATTCTTATAGTAGTCTAATATGCACCACCACATCCTCCACGCTCTCTCATCTGATTTTTTTTGGCTTTTGGCATACTAATTGCTGCAATATGAATTCAGCTATTTTATATTTTTAGTGATATATTAGAGCCACTAATGTGTGCCTTTTCTGTTTCCATCTTGATATATCTGTATTACACTGTAGGATGACTGGCAGAAAGAAAAGAGGGACTTCTTGCAAAGCTTAAGCCGACTTTCTTCTTTGCCTAGGATAAATAGTAGCGTAACAAGCAGCGGGATTAGCCATATGGGTCAGTTGCCATCTCAAGCATCTACTCCTCAGATCTCTGCCGGTCCATCCAGCATGGAAACTGTACCTAGCAAACCCATTGTTGAAAAGAAAGCTTCTGTTTATGCTGAGACTGTAAAGAATTTTAATGATGCAAGAGGGCGTGGACTGCCCTTTAAAGTAAGTGACATGCATTCTCCTTTTAGCTAGCTTGTTTTCCACTGGTAACTTATAGATGTAGATTATTACATGATTCCTTCTACTAAGAGTGGGATCCATGTCAATCATTGATTGCTTTCTTGGTGAAGTTTTCTTATGCTGGTGCCTCCGCTAGATGTTTATGTGGATGGTAGAAGATCTCTATATGTTAAGAAAAATTGCTGCAACAATATTTGATTGTTATCTTACAGTCTAATATCATTACAAGCTCCTGACACGAGGAAAGTCAATGTATTTTCAAGCAATAGAAACACAGTATCTAGAGATAGTCCATAATGAAGTCTTTTCTGTGATGTGCTACCATGGACGTTTACTACTTTGCCAGGAAACTTCCAGCATTTCTGACTTTTGAATCATCTTTATTTATGTAACTGTTTGCGGTTAGGTTGAAGCTTTTTGAATGCCTTTAACATGCATCTCAAGTTCCATGTGGTGATCTTTCTATATGCTTACTGCTTGCCAAGTCCTTCTGACTTCCTGATCTCTATTTAGGTTACTGTAAGTTTTGAGGTTAGGTTGATTATTTTTGAGTCCTCTCTACCGTGCATCTCAAGCTCTATCTGTTAAATTTTCTATATGCTCTACTTGAGAAGTCCTTTTGCAAGTGATTGAAGAACCTGATAGAAGTCATTCGGTTATGTAATAAACATTGTTGAGTGTTTGAAGGATTTGATAAAAGCCAATTGTTTATTAATACCCATTTTCTGTTTGTTTTTCAACTAGTGGTTCCAGAATGAATGAGTGATCTGTTTCAGAATACATTCATTACCTTCATAATTGCATTAAATGTTTTTTGTGTAACTTGATTTGACCAGTATTTTTTTATTATCCTCTTCTGGTTTAGCCTGCTACAGCTTTCAGGGGTGCTTATGAAGGTCTAGGGCTTGATGTTTCTGGTGGGAAATCAGTCTCCATGCAGAAAATCTGGCACCTGATTCAGGTTAGCCTTACTCCCAAAATGCATGATGTGTGTCCTGCTAGTCTCTTTGGTGATGGAATATACTTGTCATTTTGCATCGCACATAAATATCTATTGTTTAATTGCCTCATAATTCAGATGTTAGTTGGCGAGGATTCCACTGTTCAACGTAATATCTCAAGAAAAATGGCACTAGTGATAGGGGCAAGGCGGCACCTTGAATGGGGACATGAGAAGTATATCTTGGATACTATCCAAAGCCATCCTGCACAGGTTACATATTTAACTTCTTTCCCTTCTTTTTTTCGTCAGGTTCCAATTCTTTTGTTTATTTAATTATTATCTCCTTTCTTTTACTTCTCATTTATGTTACAAAAGATTTAATTCAATATTTTCTTCGCTCAGTATGTGCAGTCCTAAGTTACATTAGAAACATTTGCTGCACATTGAGGTATCTAGCAAGGATGCTGTTGTTTGAATACAGTTCGCATTTTTAGCACTTCCATAGGATGATCCTCAGAAGCATGTTTATTTTGTTGTACTTGAGTGGATATTCCATTATTTTAACTTATTGGTTTGCTCTTTAAATTGTTGCTGGAAATGAGCTTGTTTTTCTGGTTCTTCTTAACCATCAGCTGTCAGTCACAATATGATTAACTTGTAGGTTTATTCTAAATGGTGCCAGAAATGATCTTATTCTCCTGGTTCTTCTTAACCATGAATAGTGAGTATCTTATGCCATTGTGCTGGCGTGCTACCTTGTGATTTTTAATAGCTGATTTTAGGACCCAAGTTGTACTGTTTTTTAGTTGCACCGACTGCATCACTGACTTTTTATCTGCGATTTATGGCCTACATGTACTTTTTCCTGCTTGACATTTTAACTTTCTTTTTTCTGCTGAATTTTCTGGGGTACCTCCTCTGAATTGTGAGAAATCTCAATTTTGTATATGTTCTTGACCCTTCATTTTATTCTTCAGGTGTTCTTTATATTCTTCTTTCACATTGATATTCTGAGCAGATTAAACCTTCTACTGTTTGTTTGACAAGTTGTGGTTTCATTTTATAGGCTGCTCTAGGTGGTGCTGTTGGCAATCTGCAAAAGATTCGGGCATTTCTCCGGGTTTGTTGTTTTTCTTGTGTTTCAGATTTTGACCTGCTACTATTGTTGATTTGAAAACTGTTCTCTTGATTAACCATTGTGTTTAAAATTCATTACAGGTTCGTCTAAGGGATCATGGAGTACTGGATTTTGATGCCAGTGATGCACGTAGGCAGCCTCCAATTGACACCACTTGGCAACAGGTTCCAACTTTGTTTATTTACAAATAATGATCTTTTACCAACCAGTGCTAAGTAACATTTCATTTTGCGTCCCAAATTTTCATCATATTAATTTTTTTGTCATTTTAATATTATGTACCTTGTGCTCCAATTGTTCAAGAATCTAATCGGGAAAATTTTGCAAAGTAAATATGAAGGGTAGAAATATGATGGGGAAAGCAAATATCAAACTTTTAATAAAAAAAAAATACATCAAGTAAGCTAACATCACATGGACTGAGTTAAAGGTCTTAGAAGTTTTAATGTGCGTATTGTATAGTTACTAACATAGGAAAAGAAGCAGTAGGTACCAAAGCTATATAGTTATTAACATAAGCTATCACATGGGTGGGTGCGGTTTTGTCATGGAACAACAAGGATTCGGCATCTGTTGGCATGGCATGGTGCATGTAGTGAGTGGTGCTACCGACAACATATCTTCTGATGCCTTGGATTACAAAGAGGGTGGTGATACCAGGGAGATCATAAGGAGTCCGCAGCGCCAAGGCAACAACTGCCACGGATCTGAGGGAGATGGAAGCGGTAGGTTTTGTTAGCTGATAGTCTAAGGATGCTCTGGTTCTCGTTGTGCTCATCAGCTGCATCGCCGGCGAGCATAAGGAGTGAGGATCGAGCTTTGTTGTTGTGAGTTTTGATGGTAGTGGTTTGGAGCCATGACTTGCAGATGACATGTGATTGAATGAGGTCAGAAGGCGAGAGGAGATGGAATATGTGGCCTAGGAGGTGCTCAGTTAAGGTGGCTGGGAATAAAGGTCATTAGGGAATTAATACTCTTTGCAATACAAGAGTTTAGAAGGGGAGAGGGATTAATATGGACTACCAATTCTATTAGGAATAGTTTCCTGATTAATTAAAGAGTCACAAAGTGATACAATTTTATTTGCATAGATAGATTGTGGAGCATGAAATTCATTTTAACTTTATTTAGAAAACTATTTAGCTTTCTTTTTCGGTCTTTCTCTTCTTTCCTCTTTATATTTTACAAATCAGTCAATCATGTAATAAACTTAATGAATTGAAGTGAGATAATTTAGTTCGTTTTGAAAATTGATCATTAGTTAAAACATATTCATTATGCCCGAACGATATATGAATCTGCTTCCTCTGGTTGTCTTGAAATCGTTCGTAGCATGAGTTTCATTTACTCCCACTTATGTTAAAACCCATCAACTTTCATAATATTCTATACATCCAAAATTCCAAACCTAACTTATTTTTAAACCCAATTTATCAAGTACAAGGTATTTGTATGTTAAAACCCATCAACTTTCATAATATCCTATACATCCAAAATTCCAAACCTAACTTATTTTTAAACCAAATTTATCAAGTACAAGGTATTTGTATATTAAATTATCACAAAACTATGAAAACCCCAATACACCATTCTCCTTTAGGTCTCTATTCTTCTCTAAACCTATTACTTTCTACATTCTTTACTCCCCTTTAATGGCACACCACCTCCTCGAGCTCCATCTCTCTTCTTCCTCCCATATTCTTAAAACCATCTCCCTCCTCCCATGCCCCTATCTCCCTCCCTCATCCTCAACTGTTGCCTCAACACCATCCCCATCGACCCCCTCCACTAGGCCATCCCCATCTTCACCACCCAAGCTCCTCTTTAGCACCAAGGAAATTTTCTCCATTTAAGTTTGTAATAAACAACTATCATTAAGGTGTTTGATAAAATGTTTGTTAGAAGGAACTATTATCCAAATGAAGCAATAAAACCCATCAATTGTTTGTTGAAAGGAGTTGTCAAAATTCAAGTAGAAATGCTCTTTAGGATAGTGAGTAATTATGTTCTTAATTGAAATAGTCTTTGTACTTTGATAGTCTTCTAAGCATTATTGTAACCATGTATGCAACTAAAGTAGTTTATATGTATTCTAAAGTTGGGTATATGGGCTTTGCACGAATGACTTTTGTATTTTTTAAAGGAAAAATAAGTTTTTGTCGAAATGCCTCATAAAGTCTTGCTTCTTGGAATTCGCTATATGTATGCGAAGACTTGAGATTTGGGTACTAGTATTGAATTCATTCAATTTTGTTATGTTGCTATAAATATTGTTTCTTATAGATTGTGATCCTGCAAGTGAGTGAACATTTGCCCATAAATCTTGCTTATGTCGCAAAATTGCTAAGAAGCTATATTTTGTTCATAGCAAGCTAAAACTATATTTTTTCTTGTACTGAGACATTTCCTTGCAATATGATTTAAAATAATCAACATCTTTTTTTAGTGATAGAACCCATAAGGAGTTATACTTTGTTTATAAAGAGCTATAAAATAAAAAAAGGTATTTTGCTATAAGTAGCTATAAATTTGCTATAATAAGCTATTTATATGATGTAAAGAGCTATACTTTGAACAATTAAAATTAGAACATTGTAAACTTCTATATTTTTATTATAGTTATATTTAAGTAATTATTACTTTTTTTCCCTCAAACCTTCCTTGCAAATAGAGTAGAAATGTTTGATTTTTCTTCCAAATAATGTGATGAAACTTATAAGGAGCTATACATTGTTCATAAAGTGCTACAGAAGTTCCATAAAGAGCCATACTTGGCAATAATTAGCTAGAAATCTTTTGTGATGAGCTATAATATGCGTGAAAAGTTATACTTTGAACGACATTTAAAGTTTCTATATTTTTCTAGCAGATATATCTAAACGTATAATACTTTTTTTTTATTTTTTCCTTAGAAATTTTGTTGCAAATGGAGTCCAAGTATAGGTTTTCTTTGCAAATGATAAAACTCATAAGGAGCTATACTTTATTGATAAAGAGCTATAAATTTTCCATAAGGAACTATTCTTAGTAATTAGTAGCTATAGATTTGTTATATGGAGGTATAATATGATGTAAAGAACTATACATTGAACTATCAAATAGGGACATTCTAAGCTTCTATATTTTTCTTATTTTGATAGTTGTATTAATAAATTATTACTTCTTTGTTCATATTTTCCTAGACATCTCCTTGCAAATAGAGCTACACATTTGATTTTCTTTACAAATGATAGAACTCATAGGGGGCTATACTTTGTTCATAACGAACTATAAAACTTCTATAAGAAGCTACTTTGCAAGAAGTAGTTGTACAACTATTATAAGGAGCTATACTATATTTTTAAGGAGTTATACTTTGCAATAATTAACTCCAAACTAACACTAATACAAATAATGTTCCAGCCATACAATATTCTATATTCATCCACCAAGAAACACAAATAATATGAAAAAATAGAGCAATCATATTTATGATCAAGTACCGTTGATGTATTGTCAATAACACACAAGATCCAATATGCATAATACTTGGAACATATAGCATCTACTTTACAACCTAAACAATCATATAAAACAAGATCTGAAACAGTTTATGAGATCCACCTATATTCACATCGGAAAAGAAGAAAAACTTCCTCAAAAAATATACCATAGCTCCTCCAAATAGCAAAGAGTTGTAAGAGTGATTGTAGGCAACAAGGTGAGGGTTGTGCTCGAGGTTTCGAGCCTCTGCTGCGCCAACACGCTTGATAGTCCACCAATCACGCTTGATAGTCCACCAATCACGGCCAACGATCACGGCCTATTTTGCTTCCATCATTGATGCCTCTGAATTGCCGCCATATAAATTCAAAATGATACACCTACTATTAAAAATGCTCAAATGAACCTGAATTCTTTTTGAAGAATTTCACCAAACAAATAGTATGCATGGAATTTTAGAAAAACACTTTCACGTTCCAAGCCTTAATTAAGTCTAATCTAAGTCCAAAGAGAAAGGTGTTACTTCAAAAATAGATTGTATTATAGTTCATCCAAATCAATGCTCCAAATAATATTTAAGAAAATGATTAATTTCAATAAACAAGTAATGGGTTAAATTATTTCAAATTGCTCATACAATTTGAACTCCAATCTTTCTTACCCATTACAGCTGCCCAAATTACCCTTATGCTGATGTCGACAATGTTGAAGAAGCTTGATCAAAGGTTTTGAGAAGAATCCATGTCTTCATTTTGGGCTTGGGCTTGGAATTGTGATGAGTGAGATGAGAGATTTGATAGGCTTGTAGGGATTGAGAAGAGCTCATTGTGAGAAGGGGTTTTTGAGGTGGGGAGCAGAGAAGGTGACCAAGTGAATGTGGGTGGAATGAGGTTAATGGAAGAAAGAATGAGGAAGGACAGTTTGGGATGTTAGTTTTTTAGTATATTATATATATAAGTATATATGTTGTTGATACTTGGGTTTAAAAATAAGCCCCTTTTGTAGTATTGAGTTTAAGAGGTGTTTTGGAAGTACGTGGGTCTAAAAATAAGTGGGGGTCAAATGTTGGGTGTAAATACAAAAACCCCTACATTTAATTCGGTAAGAACTTTTGTGAACCTAAATTTCAATAAAACTTAAGCTATTAGTCTATTAGAAAAATTGCAACAATAAAAATTATCAAATAATAACAATTTCATTTCTTTATAAGTTTTATTTATATTAAAACTTGTTTACATATAAAAAATATCAAGTGCATATAGAAAGAGCCTTCATGTGCTTGCCAAGTTCTTTGACATTTTCAAACCTTCAATTGTGTGAACCAGCGTATCCTCGGTGCATAGAAAAAGTAATAATTATACTATAGCTACAAGTTATGGAAAGCGGAAAGCAGAAAGCAAAGCGGTGGGACATCGCTTAAGGTTTTTAGGGTTGGAAGTCGTTCAAAGCAAAAAAATGCAGTCCAAATCCTCTTGAAATTCTAAATATCGTTAAAATTATTGTAAAAAAATTTGGAGGCTGAGCTTGCTGGAGGCGGATTTGGGGGTCTTAAGGTTTTTTGGGTTCGATGGAGATAGATTTTGCTAGAGCAGATTTGTTAAGGAGACTTTAGTAATGAGAGATTTCAACTGAATTTTGGGATAGCTTCGATGGAGAAGAGGAGGTGGACGAGGTGGAGAAGAGGAGGTTTTGCTGAAGCAGAGGATTTATCAAGCTCGATGGAGGAGGTGCATGACTAGAGGTGGGTAATTTAGGGTATAGGGTCTTTTGGGTTTGGAACACAAAGTAGAGAATCGGAAAGCGAAGGTGAAAAGGGGACTTAAGTTAGTCGAGTACAAAAAGACTGCTTAAACAGTGTTATCAAGGCGCAAGGAGCAATGCACGTTGTAAAGGCCCCTTACACGCACCGTGCGCAGCGCACAACGATGCACGCGCCTCACTGAATCAAGTTGCACACATGAAACATTTTTTTTTCCAACATAAGATAGACAAGCATAGAAGCAACGCATTTATATTTTTTTCACATAAAAAGACTAAGTAATATAATTTCACCTACTAAGTCACGAAAGAGTCATAATTAGCATGCATAAAATAGTAAAGTTCATAAGTTTTCACAAATCACAAGGTAAGCTTAATATCCAGCACAATCGAAAGTCTACGAAACAAAGCGAACAAGTAGCAAAATAACAAAACGTTTAGTCATCCTCATCATCATCGTTATCCAACTCAAGTGGAATTTTCTCATCCTTAGTTTCCTCCTCTTCATTAAAATCTTCTTCATCCTCCATGTCCGGCTCCCTCCTAGATAACGAAGCAACATCACTTGAAGATCCTCGAACCCTAGCACTGGACCTTAATCTTAGCCTAAATTCTTCTTTAGCTCCATTGCCACACCTACTACAACACCCCATCTAAGGTCATCCTCATCCACCTAGTCATTCTCCGCATTGTTACCCTCTCCAAATTCCCCTGACAACCACTTGTTGCTTTCATCTATGTCAGTCAACTTGATTGGGTCAACAATATCCCTGCAATCAAATCTTTCCATCAAAGCTTGGTTATATTTGCAATGTACTAGGTCTTACAACCTCTTGTGGGTGTATCTACAACTTATATAAAGTCTAAATAAACAAATTGGTGCTCTAAATCCTTAATTCGTTAAGTAGATTTTTATACAATTAAAAGAAATTAAATATACTTGTTCAAAAGAACTTTCATTTCTTTCACACGCAGAGGTTGCAAGTGAGACTAAGGATTATTATAGCAAGTTTCTACAGAGTTGGAGTTGCTGCTAATAAGTTGAGGATATTCACCCATGAAGTATTTACCTATAACCAACAAGCAAACATCTTATTAAGATTCAATCATTCAATTCCATGGAAACTAGAAAGCACATTAATCAATATCAAACAAATTAAATCAAATCTAAAACTTCAGGTTGGCTAGTTTGATACTAGCTAATTGTCCGTAATGACTTGCACAACATTTTCTGGTCCTATCTTCTTAATCTCCTCATTTAAGTTCTCAAACAACCTCACACCAGTATTGATCGTATTGATCTCATCAGAAGTATCAGTAGAGGAAAGAAACATTGTATCATGAGGAAAGCTCACAAGGAAGTTTATCAAAGTCTATTCTACGATCAGCTGCACTATTTTCGTTTTTTTTTCGCATAGTACAGAACATCCTTTTTTGGCCCAAATCTCCTTATGCGGTTGCATATTTTCAGTGTACTTCTCCTTAAGCAGTGGCTCATGTAATTGGTGGAATGTTGGAGGTGGCAAGTTAGGCCCAAAAGCCCCCACAGTGTTCAATATTATCCTGAAGGACGTAAGTCGTGCGGAATTAAAAGAAATTCCCGCGTAATACCACTAACGGGCAATGTCTTGATGCATTTTAGCAACTGCATCTTTGTTGATGCCTTCTTCAATGCTTGTTTGCCACAATTTTCGCTTTCTATCATCCTTGGCTACCTCTAGTACCGGGTCAAATGTGAGAAATACATCCATAGGCTCATTCCTCTTTGTCGAAGACCCCACACTATGCATGCTAACACTTCCCGTTCATCTTGTAGTTAAGGAAGATGATCTAGGAGACATTACAACTTTTCCCTTATTCCTAGTTTTTTTTGTCCCGATTTCAATGTCATCAACTTCATCGATCTCAATCATGTCGTTATCTTCAAGATCCGACATGTATTTTCCACAGCTTGTTGGCTTCTAACAATGGCTTATCTTTTTTCATAATCCTTTAGTTCATCAACCACATTCGAAGGAACTTTTTCACAAAGGGAAACATTTTTACATTTCCTTGTTGTTCCGATAAAATGCTCCATTTGCCTTGATATTCTGCTATTAGAGATTTTATTATAAAAAATGTACTTGTGGTTGTTGGAATTTCCTTCCTCAACTAGAGAAGTGTACATCTATATAGGATCTTATCTTCTACCTCTAGTCACACTTGTCGATGCCGACTAAGACATGTTCAACAATTAGATCATGGTGATCACCTACACCCAAAATTATGAAAATATTAAGTTAACTAATCTTCAAGCATGAAGCATGTTTGATGCATGATCATGATTTATCCATATTCCATAGTCCATAGACTCCATACAGAAACAAATATGATGCACAAATTGCTCTTTTTTCTAAGTTATACTAATTACTAAGTTGTTTCTCATTGACCTTTTTTTTTTCTTTTTTACAGATTACATATGAAGAATAAAGTAGCAAGAATCAATCACATATCCCAAAACATCTACCCAAAAAATATCCATAGTTCATTTATTAAACATGTATAATGTATTCTTATTGGCTAATCCTCATATTCAACATTAATATCGTGAAATGTGAACTAGAAGCATAAAAGATCAAATAGAGTTGATTGAAGTCAATAAGTTGCAATCAAATCAGAAACTAAAGACTGCTGCAGGGCGCAAATCTGTAGAGCCGAAGCGCTCGATTCCGGCGCGCTTAGGGCGATCGCCTCGATAATACTGTGCATAAAAGCCTATTATTCTTTTTCTTTACAAGCACTTGTATTCTTTTTTTTTTGAGTAAAAAGCGCCAAGGGCACTTGATAGCAGTGAAAGCGGTTAAAGCAAAGTGGCCTGAGGCCCCTTCCACTTCAAAAACTGCTTTCGCACCGCTTTTCACCGTATTTTTCGACATTGTTTTGTGGACATCCATTCCTTCTACCCCAGGTTTAGATCTTGCTTTTGCTTCTTGTTATCAATTTGAGTTATTTCCCACTGTGCTTGCAATGTGTTGTGTTAACTTTGGTTTAAGGTAATACGCTCATGTCTATTAACTAGTCTTTAGGAGTTTATTCATGAAAAAATTTTATTTTTTATATTTTGTGTCTACAGTTACAGATTTTTGGATACCAAGCATCCTCTTAATGTTCTATTCCCGATGCTATTTTGTTGGGATTTTTTTTAAAGGAGGCCTAATATTATCTATTAAATTTAGTAATAACTTTACAATTAATGTGCTTTTCACATTGCTGGCTGCTTTAAGTTAATGCCTTCATGTGCTACAAAAGGGTGAATAAGATTAGCTCTTCTTTTTGATAGCTTTGTGCAGTAATATCTCTACCCGTCGATGTAGTTGACTAAACAATTTGAAAACTATCACTAGGTAATCTTACCACGTACGTTGTTGTTGTTATATCCAACAGACACCACAACTGATTTTCTTGAACATCTAGGTTGACACACTTGATATTATCTAAACCTCCATGTCGTCTTTTACTGCTAATCAATGTGCTTGGTGGGCTTTGGCATCTTCTAAGGTTAGATGAGATGTTCACGACCACTTGAAGCTTGGTAGGGAATTATTTAGACTATTTTGATGTATTACTATTTTAATTATGTTCGGGAATGAGTTGTATATGTAGCTTCTTCTTTTCATGAGAATATTTCTTCATTACTAAGGCTCTTTGAGAAGTGAGCTATGCTAGATGAAATGATTGATACTGAAGCAAAACCCTCTTTTTTACTGGTCATTCTTTTCTTTTCTTTTCTACTTTGTCATTTTTTTGAGTGTTCCCATTGTACCCTTATACATACATGTGCAGTCATGAACCTCAAATTTTTATCCTACTACTGTGCAGATTTATTATTGCTTGAGAACTGGATATTATGATGAAGCACGAAATGTTGCTCAATCATCTCGTGTGGCTCACCAATTCGCCCCTCAGGTAAAGTGCTTTTCTTGTAGTCCTGGTTGTTAGAATTCCATTATAATCATAATTAACGCCATCACCACCATTAATAATAATAATGCCTTATCAGCCCCTTCAAACTGGACAGCTATTGACAACTACTATTATTTCCATGGGCAATTTGATGGAGAATGCTGACAGCATATTCTTATGTTTACGTTTAATTTCAATGCCCTGGTTGACTAAATGATCAAAAAGACGGGGCTTGTCATAAAGTTCAGTGGTGGTATCTTGGTAGCATTTTGTTTAGTATCCTCAACATGGTCGATATATTGCCCAGTATGTCTTTTTATAAGGCTTACCACAAAATGGTACGGTCTGAATCGCCTTCATTGTCTTGGCAAATTTTGACGTGAACTTTTCTTTGTTTTAGGAGAGTGATTTGGATTTATGGTTCAATTGAGGTTTGAAACCAAAGAAATATTAGGCCTCAAGTGATACCAAGTTCTTTTGCTAAAATTTCGCAGAAGATACCACCTTTCTTTTTGGCGCATCAAGTATGAACATCTGTTATATATATGCACATTATCCGATATGAGACCCTGGTATTTATTAAATATCTCTGATATATCCCTGATATCCGCCATCCATTATGAGAATTTTATGCCCAAAATCTCCTTGACATCCAAAATTTAGAACACTGCTAGGTAGGATAAACAATCTTTTCGTCATGGGGTTAAAGCTTATATACCCATGGAGAAACCACCAAATTTCTGCAAATATAATGTCAGAAAAGGTGACAGAGGGATAGAGTGCAGTAGTTGGGTGGGTATGTATGAGAATCTGCATGGAAATTACTTTCATATCAGTGGAACAAAATAGCAAAAGAGCCAAATGAAAACACATTCTGACATAATTGCTCGCTGCTAGAGAAATTGATTATGTTTTTTTGGGCAGCTTTCTGAGTGGATCAGCACTGGAGGAATGGTATCACCGGAGACTGCTGCTGCTGCTTCTGAAGAATGTGAGAAACTGTTGAGAATAGGTGATCGAGCAGGCCGACCTGGCTACGACAGGAAGAAGTTACTACTGTATGCTATTATTTCTGGGTGCCGCCGTCAAATTGACAGGTTGCTTAGAGATCTACCAACACTTTTTAATACTATTGAAGATTTTCTGTGGTTCAAACTCTCTGCCGTACGAGACTGTCCAAGTGGATCCTCATCTGTTTTATTAAGTGAGGGCTTGGTGCCATACAGTCTGGATGATCTTCAAGGTTACTTAAATAAATTTGAGCCATCATACTATACGAAAAATGGGAAGGACCCTTTAGTTTATCCATATGTTCTACTACTGAGCGTTCAGTTACTTCCAGCAGTCCAATACTTATCCAAGGAAATAGGGGAGGAAGGGTACCATATTGATGCTGTACACATTTCAATTACTTTAGCAGACCATGGAGTTCTTTCCAATGGTGCAGCTACTGGCCATAAGATAGGAGCAATGGATGCCTGTGCAGAAGTTGCCAGCATTATACGTCAGTATGGTTCAGTCTACTTGCGTCATGGTAATCTCCTACTAGCTTTGGAATATTATGCTCAAGCAGCTGCTGCGATGGGTGGAGGAGAACTGTCATGGATAGGACGAGCCAATGCTGATCAGCAAAGACAGCGAAGCTTGATGTTAAAACAACTTCTTACAGAAATTTTACTACGGGATGGTGGTATTGTTCTTTTGCTTGGTTCAAGAGGCGTTGGAGAAGGTGAACTGAGTAAATATCTGATGGACTGGAAAAGTCAACAACAGTTCCTACTTGAAGCTGCTCATCAATGTCAGGAAGCGGGGCTTTATGACAAAGTAGGTTATTCTACTTTTTTCTTACTCTTAACATTTTCTTTTTTGTGTATTTTGTTCAGCATTAGAAATTCATCTTTACAGTATGTTATCAAAGACAAGTTAAATTATTACTTATCGTTCTTCACTACCAGTATCAAGAGAAGTTTAAGTAAACTTTCTTTGTTGCTTTTTTTTTCTTTTTGTATGCAAAACCAGTCGTCAAAGTAGAATGTTGATTTTTGTTGATATCTTGATATGTGTTTATGATCTCTGTAACAGTCAATGATTCTGACAATTTTAATCGTTAGATTATTTCCTTATTTCTTGCAGTCTGTAGAAATACACAAAAGAGTTGGAGCATTTGCAATGGCATTAGAGACGATCAATAAATGCCTCTCAGATGCAATCTGTACTATGTCACGTGGTAGATTAGATGGTGACAGCCGAGCTTCTGGTCTCATTCATTCTGGCAATGATATATTGGAAACGTTCAAATATTCCTCCGATGCCAGGTTACCCTTGAACTTGGCGTATAAGTTTGTTTCTCTTTTGTAATTCCCATGGTTAAATCCTAGAAATTTTCATGGAGATAGACATATTTCCCTTTTTTCCCCTATGTTTATGTGTTGATCTATCATACTTGCTTACTGGTTGCAGTTGTTCTCTTTCAACAGCAATTATGGAAAATAAGATATGATTATACCACAGCAACATGTATTCTACAAGAGAATATTTAGCCTTTCTGTAGCCGTTCTTCAATTATTGATGCCAAGAAACCTAGCAATCAAACCTATTTGTCTTTCCAAGCTATTAATAATCAACAGCATAATTGTATAATAGTTACGGAGTCATCTTTTGATTTTTACAGTATTTAATAAATGTGTCAATCCAACATATTTGACTTTCCACACTACTGATATTCAACAGCATAATCATGTAATATCCAGAGCAAGACTCCTATCAACTTAAGTTGATGTCCACCAAAGTTTCTAGCCACACATATATTAATATAAATCCACCAAAGTTTCTAGCCACACATATATTAATATAAAACACCTTTTTATATAATACATGGATCCCTAGGTAATATGAGTGGTTAAAAACACATATATTAATATAAAACACCTTTTTATATAATACATGGATCCCTAGGTAATATGAGTGGTTAAAAACTGTGGTGGACACACTATTTGCTATCCACTTAAGTTGATAGGAGTTTTCACCGTAATATGCATCATGCTTATGGTATTCTATAAATGTGTTCACTGAACTTTCTAGCTTATTTAGTCTTTCGCTGACCATTAAAATCTTCTAATCCACGTGCTACGTTGCTGAACTTGGTTTCTGCTTCTGTTTGTTAGGAGCACAATTTCCACCCTGGTCCGAGAATTTGTTATGGTAAAATGTAAATGTGAATTACAATATTTCTTTTTTCTTGTAGCAAGGAAATGGTGTTTAAAATTTTCAAGAATGAGATGAAGGCATGCATATACATATTTATTCCCTTCCCCTTGGTGTTCTTGGAGACTCCATTTTACCTTCATTAGCCTATTTTACAAATTGTCCTATTTCAGATGTTAAGTATCTCTGTTTTGCTAACTTTTAGAATCACCAATCAAACATTTGAAGCAAGGTTTTTCTTGATCTCTTTCAATTTGGAGGAAAACTAATCTGCAAAATGACAGTGTCCAATAGAAAAGTTTGGAGGTCAGAAACTAGCAATAAATAGACACTTGTGTTCTGGGCCAAATTGAAAAGCTGCTTTCCTGGTCCTCGACCATTAATCTAATTTTCGTGTATAGGGGCAGTATTTCCCTTCCATGTAAAGATCTAACCTACTGAACAATCTTTTCCATTATGATCTATGCCCCACCAAAAACTGTGATTTCCCAATAAAGGCAAAGATGCTACCACCAATTGCCTATGGACGTAAGTGGATCATACTCCATGTTCTTGGGTGTGAGTTTACATTTGGAGAAACTTGATAAATTTTGACTACCATATAAATTGTATTTTTTGGTATTGGTTTTGGTTCATTAATAATTCTCAGCCAACCTTTCTTATTGAAATATATATATTATACATTCTGAAATCTGTCATTTTATTGAAGAAATATATTTATCATTTCACAAGGATCGTCCATTGACAAGTGATTGTGTATCTAGACAATGCATGTGATGTATTTCATTCATTTCAAGTGCAAAGTTAACTCATGGTTCTAGCCAATGATCTACATTCCTTGTTCATCAATTGACGTGTATTCAACCATAACAACTTTTGTGTTGCCATGAAGAGTAGTTAGTATCTGAGTTAAAGTTGTTATAGCCCTTTTTAAGACCTGAGGCCTTCAACTCAATGCAGTGGGTAGGTGAGATAACAAAGGCATTAATTTCCTGAGTAAGAGATCTTGAGTTCATTACCATCATGCAATGTGAACAGTAGAGCAAAATTTTCATTATAATTGACCGGTGTGTGGTGGAGAGGGATGCAATTTATCTGAGGGATTAGGTGGGTGCTACGTGATAACACCCTCACATTAAAAAATAATTAAATGAATAATGGAAGTGTTCTTAGTTTCCCATTGACTCTTTCCAGCATGGCCGTAACTATTGCATATTTCCAGCAGCTCTTAATCTTAGTTTGCAGCTGCCGTACGTTAACTATTATAATGCTGCTTTGCTTACAATTGGGACAACATCTTTCTTACACACTGCAATGTGCACAGCTGATATAGTTTGGTCAATATCACTCATATTGCAGAAGTTTATGGATTCATAGTGGATAATGACTTAGATCTCTTACGGAATTATATCGCGTTCATATATTAGTACTGAGTTAGCTAGAATGAATGTAGTGTAAACTTAGGGCTTGTTTGGATTGAGGGGAATGAGGGTGAAGGGAGGTTAGGGGAACCATTCACCTCCATTCACCTTGTTTGGGAACACTTAGGAGGTGAAGTTAATTCACCCTAGTTCCCCTTGGTTCACCCCCTAATAGTATAAAAATTGTTACCCCCAAATTGGGGTGTAACCAAGGTTGGTTCACCCCCTAATAGTATAAAAATTGTTACCCCCAAATTGGGGTGTAACCAAGGGGAAGGGAACTCGGGGAAGGGAACTCCCTTCCCTTCTCTTCCCTTCCCTTCACTCAGTTTCCCTTAACTTCCTTTCACCCCCTACAAATCCAAACAGGCCCTTAGTAAAATGTATTAACATTGCTGCCTATGCGTTTTGTTAATTGTTAATCATGATATTGTATATTTTTTTCGTCATTTTGCTGTCGAATTAATTTGAATAGTTCTGATTACTTTAAACTAATAACTGCAGCCTTCAAGAGAAGGAACTTATTTCTGAGCAGCAAGTAGTACTGAGACAACTTGAGGCAATTTTGTTTGTCCATAAGTTAGCCAGAGCAGGTCAGCATTTGGATGCTCTGAGGGAAATCACAAAGCTCTCATTTCTACCCCTAAATCCACGAGGACCAGATGTTACAGCTGATGTATTTCGGAATCTTTCTCCCCATGTTCAAGCATGTGTGCCTGATCTCCTCAAAGTTGCTCTTAGCTGTGCAGACAATGTTACTGATTCTGATGGAACACTTCGTATATTGAAGTCGAAGGTATGGTGCCTGGTACTTGTCTTTTACTTACATATGGCGTATATTGAATGAGTTAGAAGTCAAGTTATTCTGCGTGGTACTTGTCATTTACTTACAAGTGCTATATACTGGATGCTTAGGCTATAACGCAAATGATGTGCAATGATATATTGGGTTACAAATTGCATACGCTAAATGACAGGCTACAATATGTGGTAAGTACAGTGGAGTTTAAAACTTCAAATCTATTCATTGGAAACAAGGGTGGCCGGCATATGTCCACATTCCACAAACATTAGCTTTTGTGATACCTTTGAGAAGATATCATCTATTTCCTTTTCCTCTTCCTTTTCAATCTTTCAGAACTCTTAAACCTAGGATTCAATAATGTAATATTATGATAAATTTATTTTTATCATGAATCCTATTTAGCAAGGGTTTTTTAACCAAGAAGTTGTACCCGTGGTCGACACCCTGACACCTGTAGTGTACACCCAACGCTTCCTTAGACACTCTGTGCATATGTACATATATCTATTCAAATGCATCCTCAGTTATATAATATATGCTTGAATTTGAAACATTTGTCATACACTACTTGAAGTATATCCTACACTTCATAATACACTTTTTGTGCCGGTGCTTCATTCTCAAACTGGTCCCCATACTTTATTTTATTTTTTCTCAGTTTGGTCCCAGTTCACTGGTCCCCCTACTTTACTTTTTTCTCAACTGAGTCCCCATACTAGGGCTTCATATTGGTCCCTCTATTTTATTTTAACTTTTAGCTTTTTGCAATAAACTCCCAGTAACTTTCAACATCACATTAAACACCCCCACCAAAATAGAAAACAACTTTCAAAATCATGCTAACCCCTCAATAACTTTCAAAATCACACTAAACCTCCATAACTTTTAGAATTGTAGAAAATCCCTAGTAAATTATCGCATTTTGCAGATAACCTTCATAAATTAGAACAATAAAACAACATAAAAAGGCATTTGAAGGAGAATTTTAACAAAAGTAAAAAACAATTATGGTTCGTTGCCCTAATCTGAGCGAGCAAGAGAAAAATGAAATATAAAAAAAAGAGAGATTTTTATTTTTAAGATGGAAAACCTAAAAGCTCATAAAGGGTTTTTAAAATAATTTAAGGGGTATTTTGGTCTTTTTTATGTCATGTGAGTTGCATGTGCCACGTCCTGGGATACCCCGACACGACACTTAGGGTGCCGTACCCGTGTCCGATCCATATTGGGTACGGGTCCGTACCCAAACGGCAGGGGCACGGGCAGGTTTGTGGCTTATTCTTAAGCTGGCGAGGGACCTTGCTCTATGGGTTTTGCGACTTTTTTTAAAATCTTGTTATTGAGATCCATGAGTTCCAAGACTTGAGGACATAGACCAATATGATAACAATTTCTCTCCCCACTCTCTCTCTATAGATTTTTCTTAATGTTTTATCCACTTAGTGGAGATGACCTCACCCCTCACATGGCCTTGTTTGACCATGAGAATGGATGGTATTTGTCTTTTCCTGGCGAGGATGGCTACAGACTGAGCACATAAGTCACATGGGTCCTTAACTTTTATATGGGAAGAAGTTTGAGTTGAGCTTCTTTTTATTTTATTTTTGAAATAGTTTCAGCTTAACATCTCTTTTTTGTATTTTCTTTTTTGAAGATAGAAATGCAAAGTTCCAAAGCCTTTGCTTTCTTGAGAATTTGAGAATGGACTTGAATCAAATAAAAAGGAGAAACTTGAGATCGTTAAGATAATTGTTAGTTTTTAAATTGCGCACGCGCCGTGTCCCTGTATCCTCACTTTTACAAATGTGTTGTGTCCCGTACCCGTACATGTATCCATACCCGTACCTATACAACCTAGGCCACGTCAGATGTAATGATGTTAACTTTGGGGGTTTTCTACAAAAGTTATTGGGTTTTAGTGTGATTTTGAAAGTTATTGTAGTCTAGTGTGATTTAGAAAGTTATTCAGGGTTTAGTATGATTTTTGAAAATTCTTGGATGATTTAGTGTGATTTTAGAATATTATTGGGGTCTGGTAACTAAATTTTGTACGAGCACTAAGTTGAGGAAAAAGTAGGGGGGGCCAATTTGAGTATGAAGCCCTAATGCATAGACTAAGTTGAGAAAAAAGTAGGGAACCAACCTGAGTATGAAGCCTCTGTACAGGGATCAAATTGAGAGAAAAATAAAGTAAGAGGACCAATTTGAGTATGAAGTCCCAACACAGGTATCACATTGGCCTTTTAGCTCTTTATTTCTGTTTTGAATCTTATTTAGGAAGGGTTCTTCTATGAAGAAGTCGTATCCGTGTTCGACATCCTGACACATGTACTGTACACCAACGCTTTATTAGACGCTACGCATATATGCATACATTTATTCAAATGCATCCTTAGTTTGTTTGAATTTAAAACACTTGTCGTACAGTGCTTGGAAGTATATCCTACATTCATATAGACTTCTTTATTCATATTAATGTGTGAGGTGTCTTTTTATTTTCATTTATACACCAAGGCCTAAAATAGAAATGCCGTAGAATATTGACTTGTATGTAGTAAGTTTAGATATGCCTTAACATTTTGTATAACGTTGAAGAACCAAATCATATTCCTTTTACAAAATTATAAATATGTATGGTGCGTAAAATGATTGACATATATGTAAATTCTATATGTATTGTATTATTAGAAATAAATGTGACTTTTGGATGAATAAACATGTGTATGCATGCATGGATGTAAAGTCTCTATGTTATATATGAATGTATATGGTGCGTGTCTATCTATATGGAGGTATTGGTATCACATATCATATGAGGAGATTCTCTCATATGCAATAATGTGGTGCAATCTTAACCAGGGGTGGCAATGAAGGTTTCTCTCTCTTCCCTTTATTCACTTGGTCAAGATTGAGCTGCATCATTGTATATGAGAGAGTACGCTCATATGATAATATGGTAAGGATATCCATTATTAGACGTACACATCACACAATGAGAAAAAGTGCACATCACACAATGAGAAAAAGGATGTTCTTGATACCAGGAATAAAGTTGGTTTTGGTAGTTAGATGATCACATCTTTGTCTAGTTCTGGCTATGATTAATTTGGATGGAAAGTGTCACCTTTTCTCTTTCAACTTTACAAGTTCTAGATGAGAGGCTGAGATGTGGTCACCTCAATATCAAGAACCAACTGCGTATGGTAACAAGGATACCTCTGACGCATGCACACAAGCATGCATTGAAGGTTGACCATCTGAGCCATGCATGAGAAATGGTCACCTCACAACCAAGCAATTTTGTGTTTCTTGGTTTCCTTTGATCAAATATCCTGTAGTGCTTATAACCATTTTTTTTCCTATCTACTTGCAGATTGCAAACTTTGTAGCAAACAACATGACTAGGAGTTGGCCCCATGATCTTTATGAGAAAGTTGCCAGAAGCATATGACGCTATGTATGGTGAAGAAAGAAGGGAAAAGCATCATTCATTCAGTATTTATGCAGAATCATGATGACCTTGTCGGGGGCTATTCATCTCTAAGAAAAGATGACTGCATGTCTTCAGGAGCATTTTGGAGGTAAAAGATAAAAAATAAAATCTAAAATTTCTCATCTATAGCGAACTTTAGACAGAAGCAGCCCGGTACTGAGCTTCATGCCCAACAGGTGGCTATTACTATTGTGGTTGCACCTTTTTTCTTCTGAACTTTTATAGAAGTCTACAACTCATCTAATCAATGTAAAGATGGATTGTTTCTATTTCCTGTCTAAATTTTCATCAGTTTAACTGAATTTTCAATCTCACTTCATCAGCAACTACAATGGTGAAAATTCACAACAGCAATAAAATACGTAGGTCACAAGATGTTATATTCAAAATACATAAAATTGCATTCATCAATTCCATGTGTGAGATAGGAAACAAGAACAACTCAAAATATATTGGCACAAACACCTTACTATTTGATTTCTATCACTCTTTATATAAAAAGAGGCTTTTTCGTGTGTCATGTAACACTTTCTTAATAGTAGTCAAAAGTAAAATCCAAAGTAAGCTGAGTAGATATTGGCAGAGTGCGGATGGTTGGGTGTTTGATCCTTGGTATCATTAATTTGGCCCTATGGGACAGACAAGGGATTGATAACCTCTTTAATAATTTCAAATTACTCCCTCACAATATGGTCTCTCAATGACCAAATCAATGAGTAAATATTTGATTATAGAATGACTACTAGAATTTCTTCTGAGAAATTTTTTTCCTTAACAATTACACTCATCTTTAGTTGAACTTTTACAGTGCAAACCATAAACTTGATGATTCAAATGAAAAAAGATAAAAATGCAAGAATTCATCAAATATACGACAAAGTAGAATTTTATATTAGTCCATCAAATCTTTTAATTTGTTCATGATCCCCTCTAATTCCAATGGGCCTCGCAATTTGGCCCTCAATGTCAAAATCAATTTACAGTCAAAATAATAATTAAAAGAATTTAAAATCATATATTGAGCATATATTTGATTATAGAAAGAAACAAAAGCACTTATAATCAATTTATTAAAACTTCTGGTGAAATTTATTTTCCTTAACAATTACACTCATATTTAGTTGAACTTTTACAGTGCAAACCACAAAGTCGACGATTAAAATAAATAAAAAATATTAAAAAATGCAAGAATCCATCAATTGTATAATAGAGCAATATTTAGACCGAAAGGAAACATATCTACTTATTAAGGAAAGTAAAGTATAAAAAATTATGACAACATATACTTACAAAAGATTAATAAAATTTGTGAATGTTACATTATCTCTCGTATCTTAATGTTCCTGAAAAAACGAAATATATACTACGCTAACAAGTTTAAAATATCCTCTAAATTATCAAAATTAGTTCTACATGGTTCATCTAAATCTACACTACATCAACAGAGAGAGAGCATGCGCATTGCACTTGCCCTCCTCACTAGTCTATATTAAAAAAAAAGCCCCAAGGTCTCAAGAGTTTTGCGTAAAAAACTTAGACAATTTTACCCCTACTAAGTTACAACAATCACGAACACAGCCAGTTCGGCAGAAAATCTCTATTCACAACCCCCCAATAGACGCACGTGCTAGCAATCCACCAAACACTCGGACAAGAGTGTCTCACGTGCTCTTCAAGTCTTCAAGCTTCCTCAATCTCAATCTCAATCTCAAGATAAAGCTGTGGTCAACCAACCTCGTCACGAATAACGCCGTGCATATGAGGCAGCTGCGACCCCCTTTTTTACAAAAATATTAGTTCTTTCGCATATTTAATATTTTGAGATTAGTCGCTCAACTAATTGAAATTGCTGTTAGTCCCACAATTTTGTTACGTTAGTTCAAAAATATTCCTCAAATTATTGAACTTGGCATCAAGTTCCTCAATTCTCATAGGGTGTGTTTGGGAATGTTGATTTGGGCTTGGATTTGAAATTCTGGGTATTTCAAATCCAAATTTCATGTTTGGGCTCAATTTTGGGCCATGATTTTAAATCAAGTCATTTTATACAATGGATTTGAAAAGCCTAAAAAGATGGATTTCAAATTTGGGCACCATACTAGGAATTTGCCAAATCCTCACCCACGAAATCCAACCCAAAAAAAACCCCGACTCCTCTTTTTCTCCTCTCTCACGCCGCTCGTGTCAAAGTCCCGACTGCGAACTCGATCTCCATCTCCATCTCAAAGCTCGATCTCGATCTCGATCTCGGTCTCGATCCATCGTAGGTACCTCTCCTCTCTCCCCTTCTCCTCTCTCGGTTTCGATCTCGCCCTTTACTCCTCTCTCTCTCTCCCTTCCATCGAAACCCTAAATCTGATCTGACTTGGATTTTCTCTTTTGTAGCTTGTTTTCTCCTCTCTTTCGGTTGCTCTCCTCAAACTTCTGCAGTTTCTGATTGGGATTCAAGGTATGACTTCAATTTTTGCTGTTTTTTAATTTTTATTTTTATTTTTTGGTTGGTTTTTGGGGATCTGAGGATGTGGGATTCCTTTGTTTGGGGTATCTGAGTGTGTTCTCATACTGTTTGAGTTCTGTTGGTCAAACATGTGTACCGATGGGAGTATCTGTTGCTTGTTTTTTCCCCTGCGTTATAATTGAACATACAAGATGCTGGAACCATGTAAAATTATTATGTTGGAGGTTGTAGTGATACCTATTACTTTTTCTTGCTATATGTTTCGCTTTGAATGACTTGAACCTAGCTAAATTTACGAATGATGGATTGAAACCAACCAGTATATTCCTTCTGATTCTTTTGATTTCATGCCAAAATGATGTATGACATGAGTTTCGAAACGAAAATGCGCTTATAGGAAAGTAATATGAAAATGAGAGGAATATAATTTTTTAAACGGTCTTAGTGCAATTTCCTTTTTTTGAAAAGCTATGTTAATGGGAAAATGAGGCTAATGAAAGTAAGGATCTCAGTGGATTTTCTTTTATTTATAAGTGATGGTGATGGCAGAGGAGTCCCAGCTAAGAAAAAGGACAGCTCAGTATGTATAGACCTGAATGCTTAGTGGGTTGTCAAACACTTATATGAAGCTGGAGAATGACAATTTAAACAAGCAACCTATCTTCAGTTGATTGCCTAGGGGGCTTTAAACCTTATGAAAATTAATTATCTTTCGAACTACCTCACTGTTATTTGAACACATAATGAAGTGGATAAGTAGAAAAAGGAAATATACAGGTGAATCCTATATATTTTTGCCTGCTATTTGTGTTGTGTTCTTCTCGTGGTTTAATTTGTTCTCTGGAGTTGAACAATTCCATTTATCCAGTTTATATAGTGTTTTTCCTAGGATAATTTGGAGGATGGAAACTAGGCCTTAGGATTGTGGCAAGCTTCTCTTTTGTCCTTATTTTCTTGGACTGGATTTTGACATAGTTTACATCAGGTTGATAGACAATTGTAGAACTTTATCAAATATTCCATGGAGCCTATTCCACGGTGAAACCATTTTTACGGAAACAAGCTCTACATCCTACAAGATAATTCATTTCATACTTTAGTGTTACTTTCTTCTGAGTAGTCCTCAGTAAGTCCATACATTTGATGTTGAAGAACCATCTTACTCTGCTTGTGTATATAAGTCTCGTTTGTTTCTTACTGCTGCTTTTTATTAGAAAAGATTGGTGTTGGTGGGAGTATGTGTTCTTGGTGGTAACACACATTATATACTAAACAATTAATATCAAAGAAACAACCTTTACCTGTTAATACTACACTGTCAAATTTGTTGGGTATTTGTTTTCGCTGATGCTGAAGCTCATTGGGCCAGGAAAAGATATTGTTTATTTTTAATTCTTTAATTTCACCATGCCTCATAAGTTAAGAAATTGTATTCTTTTATCAATATGCACCTGTTTAATAAATTTCATTACTTGTATATGAACCACGTAAGAAAAGCTTCACCTTCTCTTTATTTCCATGAACTTCTGGAACAAAAAAGAATAATCACTATTCTTAGATTTCTTTACTCCCATGTTAAGAGATGAAACTGTGCTGGTTTGCTTGTGGAAATTAATTATTGGAGTTGAAAAGGGTGAAAATTTCGGGTAACAAAGTGCAAATAGTCATTTATTTTATTCTATATTTTTGCATTTTAAGTGATTCTGCTTTATTTCTGCTATCATAAACGTGTAGGGCATGAGAAAATTAATTATCTTTTCGAACTACCTCACTGTTTTATTCTATATTTTTATTCTCTTTATTCTTAAGGAGTAGTTTCTAGTTTTCAGGTCGGACTACTTTTCTTCATCTCAATGTTCTTCACAATATTTTTAACCGAATATTTCTAATTTTTGATGATTTCTTATGAATGTATTAGGGTTTGGTGATTTTGATGGATTCTTAGCTAATTCAAATAAGGAGTGCTTGTCTCATCTCAAAGGTACAAATTTTTTATTTTATTGAGAATTCTGTTCTTTTTATGATGCATTTCTAAAATGTATCTTTCATTAGGTTTGTGCAAGCCTATTTCTTTTCATATAAAAAGGTTAGTATAGAAACTGATACTCAAAACTTAATTAATATCTTCTAGGATAAGCAAAACCCTCATGCCAATGTGGATGCCCTTTCAATTTCGGAATAAAACTTCTCACTGTATTTTAATCCTTCATATTTTCTTTGTTTCTCAATTTACGTTTACAACTCAAATGATTTGTTGAATTTTACCCCATTTATAATAACAGGAGATACTGGCTGGATTGTTTTCTTGAACACCATGAAATCTTTATTTACTATCAATTGCTGAGTGGAAAATTTTATAATAATCAAAAGGCTTGGATGAGAGATTGCTCCATGAATTATTCAATTGCTTGTGGAAGTGATCAGTGGCTATTGTTGAAGTTTAAATGTACTTATCCATCAGCTCTAATGTTATTAACATCATTAAATTTCACATTGTGAGAAATTAAGGAATGCCCCCCAACAATTTATGTCTATTTGTCATTACTTAAGCATTCTTTAGAACATGTTATATCTAGAATCATTTTTCACATAAGATGTATTCCTGATTTATATTACTCCTGAATATTCAGGAATCTTACTAAAATACACATGTCATTTACAGATTTACTCCATTCTTAATTTGTTAACATTACTCCGCACACCCAACGTATAAATTGCTATATATTCTCGACTTTTCTCCCAAAAATTCTGCCAAAAAGGATTTATAGCAGTAATTTTTTACGTTGCATGTTTGTAGCTATGATTATGGTATAAATAAGAATATATAGAATATTATTTACCTGAAGATAACTCTGAAGATTGTAGCTAAGTTTAATCAGGAAGTTGAACAGAGTTTTAAAATTGGTTCAATAATCTAATTGCGGGATTATAAACAGAAATTAGAACGTCTGTTACCAAAAAAAATGTAACAAAAACAAACGTAAAAGGCCAGAAAGCCTATATATATCATGCCATTACTGGGAATTATTGTATAATTTAATTTCAGAATACGACGAATTGTTAGTAATAGGATATCTGAACGGGATCGACGCATAATCTGATCGCTGTTGATTTACTGGATTCTGCTTTCCATAATCCTTGAATTCGTCACTGACACACTGTTGATTCACTGATACACTGCCAATTGTTGTATGATGCATTCGACTTGGTAGCAGTCAAGTCACATTTGGGAAATTATCCTTGTTACTTGCTGTGTTGCCAGGTTTGCTGAAGCTTTAAGGTAATGAATCCGATATCAGGTGAAGGGTCTTCATGCTTGTGTTGCTTCTCTCGGCAAATTCCGGGATGTCAGTTTGGGGAATGAAACAGAATTGGTATCAGAACGCTATGTGTAATAATTAAGATCTTATTTTTGCTAGCTAGCCTTCATTCTGTTTTGTTGATACTCTGAAGTCTGTTATTGCCATTATTCTGTTTTGTCTGATTCTGTTTGCTGGGTTGTACTGTGCTTGCCCTTTAATATTCACGATGTAATTAATATATGTATTTTTGCCAGCTAGCCTTTCATTGCGACTAGATTTTGAAATCAAAGATTTCAAATCCTTTCATTTAATAAAGATATCCAAACAAAAGATTTCTTAAATCATGGATTTCAAATCCTAAATTTAAAATCCCTTGATTTTAAATCAACTTCCCAAATCCAAATCCAAGTTCCCAAACGCAGCCTAAGAGTATAAGTTACTCTAATATATGTTTACATGGGTTAATTTTTTAAGCTAATTTATGTTCACTATCAGGTATTTGAGTTTAAGATACTGGATCATGTTATGTCATAGCAATTTTCATGTTATGTCATAGCAATTTTCATTCTTATCACTAAAAAGAAGCCATAGCTGATTTATCAAAGAAAATGAAAAAATAAAAATAATTCTATTCAGTCATAAGATGCTTCTGAAAACAGAACTTTAAGTTTTAATCTCAACATTGATATAAATCAGATAATTTCATATCTTAGTCCTCCACCAAAATAACATCAATCGTGACAGTTGAGATGGTTGGATATTTCAATTTACTTACCTATCTCTTCACCTTTTCCCAACAACTTTTTAGAACTCTTTTAATTTTCGTCATGTAAACTGGTTTCACTTAAGTATTGATAGTTGGACTCATTTATGATGCAACTTCCATGTCAAGATCTAATGAAACAACTAAGCAAAATCTTTTTTTGGAATCATAAAATCATATACAACGTATAAAGCACAACCCACACCCACCCCCCCCCCCCCAAAAAAAAAGACGACGTAACCCCCATTATTTTTGAACTTATCCCAACTTTTGATGTTATGGTTCAGGAAAACCCAAGCCTTCAACATTATTTTAAGAAAGTCCAATGCACTTGTGAAAAAGTTTAAGAAAACCCCCATTATGCCATTTGGGCGGCATGTTGAGAAAATTTAAGATGTCACATGCGTTTTGTGCAAGGCAAAAAAGTTTTAGCCGTTAAGCAAAAGTTACAAAATTTTTGAGGTTTTATCTCGACACGGGCCAACTTTATGGGAATTTTGTGAACTTTACCCTTTCATACATAACAAGATATTGCCCATAAAGATCGCAACACCAAGGAAGCCACGAATTCCTTCGAAGTCCATTCCATTTCTCAATTTGGGTTGCTCAAATAGTGGCAATCCGGATGACTGAACGTCGAGGCGCAATACATTTTTGCTAATGAGGAGCATCTCCTTGCTCAAGTGTGCTGTATATAATTGCAATTCACAGTTATGTTCATGGCTACAAGATATATATCTTACATGATATGGGTGGTTGCCTAGGTCATTCATCAAAAGAAGTTAGATGCATACGATATTAATCACAAAGTTCTGAAGGGCTTAGCTAACCGGTACTCATCCGACAATACTGTTTTGTACCGATTGAGATTCTACCAAGAAGGTTTTGTAGAAAATCTCAGATGCTTTCATATTATAAATTAAAGTCTGTTGTGTTATTGTTTTTCCTGCTGTTCACAATGCTTATGTTGTCGTTTCGGTGTTTTTCTTTTCCTCCCTTACTAAGACTTTTCATAACCTACAACCTAATGTCTAAAATGCATGAAAGCAATCAGTCTCTATAAAGATTCATCACTAATGTTAAATTGTAACGTAATTATTATATAGCTAGACCAGCAAATATTGTGTTTTCAATGTCCTCAATCCCATAAAAAGAGTACCCCGGAAGACCACTAAAATCAAAACCATATTCAAGTAATCTAAGTTGAAAATAACAGGAGCTTTTAGATTGAGGGGAGAAAATTATGTCCAACATGAGATCTTGTGTTCACTTAATAGTTACATGTCATAAAGCCCATTGAAGCAAAAACTCTACTTTATGAAACATAGAAGAAAGAGAAAATGAAAGACAAATCAATAAATTATGCGCACCTTTGAAGTCAATTCTTATGCTATAACAACATTGCTCTCCTTTACTTGTGTTTCAGTGTCACAGTTAGGAAAACGCTGGAGATCTTCGTAGAGTAGAGTTCCAATATCATCTTAAAATCCCCCATATCTCTACAGACTGATGATGAAGTAATCTTCGTAGAGTAGAGTTCCAATATCATCTTAAAATCCCCCATATCTCTACAGACTGATGATGAAGTATATTTTTCTACAGAATCCAGTAAATCTTTCGAGTAACTATTTTACAGGTACCAGGTGATCAAAATCATGACGAGAAAACACCTTTCATATACATAAATCATACTTGAGTAAAGCTCTCGATTAGCTAAACTCTGTTTTGGGAAACTTATCAAGTTGCTTCATCAAACATTTAATCTTTTCCACAACCCCGTCCATGTTTCTTTGTTCTGCTTCACACATAAGCAAACCAAATGTTCGATCCTTTGGCAAGATTTCTCGACTAATCATGTCATCAAATAATTGGCAAGCCCACTCAATCTCGCCGACATTACATAATCCATGAATCAAAAGTGTGTAAGTGTCAAGATCTAAACTTAGATGGTGTTTGTTCACAATTTCACCCAACAACATCCTAAGTTGATCATCTAGATTTCCTGTTTTGAAGCATAATTTGAGTAGGGGAATGTACGTATGAAGAACACTAAGTTGATCATCTAGATTTCCTGTTTTGAAGCATAATTTGAGTAGGGGAATGTACGTATGAAGAACATGCTTACAAGAAAAATCCTACATCTCCTTTAATACACCCAATGCATCGTCTTGCCGATCATGACTGCAAAATACTGAGATCATTGTATTGTATGTTGACAAATTACGACTAACTCTATTCATTTGCATCTCTACACCAAAGATATGAGAGGCCTCACCAACTTGATCGGCTAAACCAAGAATGTTGATCAAAGAGTTGTAGAAATGTGTATCGGGTTTACATCCAGACATCCGCATCTTCTTGACTATGCTAATGGCTTCTTCAAATTTGCGAGACTTAGCAAGTGAATGCATAATAATTGTGTATGTGACAACATTAGGGGAGCAACCATTGGCAACCATTTCATCAAGGAGGTCATAAACCCTAGAAAACTTAAATTTTTTGCAATATGTTTTGATAATAGTCGAGTATGTGATCACTGAAGGGTTGAAACCAAAGTCTTTCATCTCTTGAATAGTCCACATTGCCTCATCAATCCTTCGAGCATTGCACCAACCATGGACAAAAATGTTAAAAGTATTAGCATTAGGGGAGATCTGACCCTTCAGGTTTAAATATATTTCACGAGCAACATCTGTTTTCTTCTCTTTGCAAAGGGTGTCAAGTAAAAGATTCATTGATTCGGTATTCTGATCCAAGCCCCATGATTTCAAGTCATCGAATACTTCAATAGCATCTTTCCATCTACCGGCACCAGCAAGTCTTCTCATGATTTTGGCAATTGTTTTCATTGTGACAAGCCCTCCTTTTCCCATCCATTTTACAATTTCCCACATCCTATCTATTTGCTTCATTTTTCATTGTGACAAGCCCTCCTTTTCCCATCCATTTTACAATTTCCCACATCCTATCTATTTGCTTCATTTTCCCTAATATGTCCACCATTTTTTCCCATCCATTTTACAATTTCCCACATCCTATCTATTTGCTTCATTTTCCCTAATATGTCCACCATTTTATCACATGAATATATAGTTGGCTTCTGATCTGATTGCAAATTAGCCCATCGAAAAAAACCTAAAGCGGATTTCCAATCCTCTCCAAACTTATGGAGTAAAGCATCAACAAGTTAAGAGGAAAGATGTATTCTAGAGCAAGATTCATCGCTTTGGAGTCTCCGTACAATATCCTCTACTGTTCCATTATAAATGTTCAAGATGACTCGCCTAATTTTGCCAGCATTCTCCTCTACTTCCTGTTCTATGAAAAATCCATTTTCCAGTATTTATTTTGTTGTTCTTCGCCGTACAAATTGGATTGAACAAGGCGGTTTACTTTCTTCTTGATGACATTGAAAGCGTGTTATAGTAAGCCAGACTGGTTCTAGAAACAAAGGGAGGACAAAATGAAAAGGCAAGAAAAGGATGAATCATATAACTTCCAGATCTCCTTTTGGTAGTAGCAAGATGTATTCCACTTGAAAAAGCACCTAGTGATTCCTATAACCCAAATAGCTAGAATTAGTTTCTCTCGTAAGATGCACAACAAAACTTCATACTACTATGAAAAATTTACAAGGTAACAATAAAATTAAAGAAGATACTCTAGTCATTGATTCTCATTCAGAGCAGTCGTCAGGAATAAATATCATCGCCCTCTCATTCCAATATTGCTTAAAGGATAAAGTACACATATTTATTCATGAGTAGAAAACTAGGTTTAAATATTGGATATCGGGGACATACCAGACGGCTAAAATCCATATTGGGTTGCGATTTGCGAATATTGGTAAAATATCAGGGATATGTAGTAAATTTTGCATTGCAATATCGGATGATGCCCATATATAATATTATATATTAAAATGTAATTTGAACACACTTAATGAAATATAACCATGAAAAAAATGTAAATTTAGGATCAGTAACCAATCGTAGAAACTTATTTAGGGAAAAGAGCGTACTAGAGTTTCGCTAGAAAACTTCATATGGCTGGAATTTTTGCTGCAATTACATTAAGAAAATTTGCAAGAATATATAGTTTAGCAACAAACTATAGAAAGATATATGGGCTAACATATCAGTTAATACATTAGTCAACTCAAGGGTACATTGCCAAAAAAATTCTAAATAGCGGTAAAGGATATTGAGACCATATTGTTTTGTTGCAAGAACTACAAGAGGATATCGGCTGATATATCGGGCCATATCAGGGATATTTTAAACAATAGTTTGCGAAGCAATCAGACACATGTGAAATTTTGTAGAAGCTCAAAGAGCATGTAACTCTGAAATATTCATTTCCTCCTCCAAATCAAGTACAAGAACCCAAAAGAGGAGAGACCCAATGAAACTAAACAACTTGTTACTCAACCAAATGAATTATTAGAAACTATACTTTCATGTGAATGATAGATGCAATGTTTTTTTTAGCAATTTAGATCATTTGGATAAGTTTTCCTTTTTTATGAGCATACCAATGAAATAAACAGGGAAGGTGTGATGCCCCTGGGTTCACACTGTTAGACCCTAGTGGGGGGATGATTAGGGTCTTATGCTAATCTAATCCGATTTAAATGCCAATTAAAACTTATTAACAAGTTATCCTAGCAAGAGTGAAATATAACAAGATATGTAAGCTAGGATAAGCAATATGAACAACAAAGAGATATATCCTATATGATGAATATATATATGCAAGGATATATAAACTACATAAGGATAAACAATCTAAACAAGATAGTGGATGAAATAAATGAGTAATGCACAATTGGCGATATAAGATAAATGCAAAAACAAATGCACCAAAGACAAACTCAAACAAGCAATATGATCACGGAGTTCGGACCTTCCGTCCTACGTCTCCTCTCCCCACTCCCGGGGAGAAATCCACTATCAACCGGGTTTTCTACGTTCACCCGAACAACGTTTATACCTCACACTCGGTTTTCTAGCAAACCGAAAACTTTACAATCAACACACTATTGTAATCTCACTCTACACCCACTAAGTGTTGGACCTAGCCGTGTCTCCCTCAAGTGCTCGGTTACAACCTCTCCCTAGGCTCGTCAACCGACGCCACTCCTCTTGGGACAATCCCCGACTCTCACCACACACTCCTCACTCGGTGTACAAGTGTATTACAAAGTGATTCTCACAATAAGCACAATATAACAAATGATTGTTCTCAACTATGGATGAGAACACAATAAAAGCACAACTCAAAGTTACAATCTCTCACCACCCAACTATACTATGTATGTAAATACTAAAAGCTCAATGTGGGTGTGTGTAACAATGAGTAAAATGAAATCTAACTCAAATAGCAAACTAGCAATAATTAATATATGATAAATCAATAATGAAATTGCTAGGGAAAAGAGTTAGAAAACTTCTCTATAAACACAAAGAGAGGATGAGAAGATTTTGAGGATGAAATCCTCAACTGGTGATGCAAAACCAACGGCTCTATTGGCGGTCGACCGACAGAACGTTCGGTCGACCGAAAAAGGAATTCGGTCGACCGAAAAAGGAATTCGGTCGACCGACGAAAAATCCGGTCGACCGCGAGCAGGTTTGAAAATAAAGAAACAAACAGAGACTTCGTCGGTCGACCGGTGCGGTCGACCGATAAAAAATTGAGCTTTCGGTCGACCGGTTCGGTCGACCGAAAACTGACATATATAAAAACAGGTTTTGAAGGCTGTATATCTGATTTTGAAACACTATTTAAAAATATCAAATAAATTCCAAAAAATGTAAATCTTTGGAGAATGATTGTAGACATGATAATAAACATGCTACAACGACTGGTTTCGAAAAAGGACTTCCCAAATGAAAAACATCATCATTTTGCAAAATAGTCCAAAACACGAAAATGTAAACATGTGAATTTTGACATTTTGGCTAAACCAACTTTTGAAACTTTACAAAATGGTTTTATAGACTTGATGTAAACTATTGTTATGAAGTCTATAAACAATGAATATAGTATTTTATCAAAATACACATATAATGCACTAAAACATGATTTCATTTAATTAACTAAAATTGATATTGATGAAATCATATATATGCATATGAGTATGAAACAAAAATATGTTTTCTAATTATATTCAATTGTTTCATAGTAAAACTTGAAAACTATCAAACCAAAACATATATGTATATATATAACTATATATATACAAAAACCAAAACGTGTATGTGTGTATATGATTGAGCTTAAAGTACTAACACACATAATATAAATTCCTAAACTAAATTACCTAAGCTTGATCTTGATCTTCATTGAGCTCAACTTGGTACACGTTGCGGATGAAGCTAAACTTGGATCTTGAACTTGAATTGTACGATGCTTCACTCCATAATTCCGCCAACCTCCTTTGGATATGATCGTTGAAACTCTATTCCATCCATCCTCCAACAACGTTGTTTGTCTACAATACATAGGAATACACAAACACTAGACAAACAACATTAGTAGTAAATTATTTGTAAATCATTATCAAAACAAGAAGGCCAACACACACAAGGCTGCAGTCTAAGGTAAAACCAAGAATGTCAAACCTGCCATGCATCCCACCGTGCAATAACATATTTCACCATCACAATTAACATCTCTCTAGTAGAGTCAACAACAGGTATAGGTACAAAAACAAGTAAAAGATAATACAAGTGATAACATATGAAATGATAACAACCATATAGATATCTCATCATCCAACCTACAGAAATACATAGTCAATGGCTGAAGTAGATAAACTAGAGTTCTCAACAAGTCTCAAATACAAAATGTCTGAGTAAAGGAAATAAGGCACACCGCCTTTACAACATCTAAAATATAGTCCTCAAATGTCTAACAAAATCTACAGTGGAGCTCCAAAATGAAACATAACTAAAAATAGACAGCTGAACACTAAAATGTGTCGCCATCAACCTGCGACTCTCCGGGCTCCTGACTCGTTACCTGAAAAGGGGAGGGACAACGAGCGTCAAAGCGCTAGCGAGCAACATCACAACCAACCCTAAGAAAAAGGGCTCGTTGTAAGAAAATACAGTTAATACATATAAATCTAAAATCATGGATCCTATCAAAGAGGGTTTTAGTATTTTAGAGACTTACAACATGAGCATAGGTACGTCGAGCGAAATAATCCAAGCAAGGAAACCCTCATGTATATACCTTGTATCTCAAATTGTAAATCCCTAAACACCAAACCTGAAAACTAGTACGGGAAAAAAATAAAAAGAAAATACAACTCATCTCAGAACATAAATACTGAATCACGTTATAACTAACATAGGTGTCATATCATAACCTACATGAGTGTCATGTCATAACCTCATGTGAAGTGCCATATGCAGGGTTAATACAGGTGTCCAATACATGAACTAGATATAGTGATTTACCAACTCATGGTACAAAGGAGTAAATGTCCAGCACGAGGACTAAAATGGATTATAGTCCAACACGAGGACTCCTATGGATTATAGTCCAACACGAGGACTGTGCAACTGTGCAAATATCGCTAATATACATAGAAAGATCTACTATATAGATTTCACACTTAACTCGGTGTGCAATTCTAAACTGGTACCCTCAGGTCATCTATCATACATAGATACATAGTAAGACTGAAAGTCAAAGTCAGAAAATCGAGGAAATCCCCCCAACAGGCGTAATACTCAACCAAAACCAACAAGGCAAAGAATCTATGCGGCGGTCGACCACAGAGGTCACCCCGGTCGACCGCGCACAGAGCCGAAGATCACTGAGCTCAAAAACTGAGCGGCGGTCGACCGCAGAGGTCATCGCGGTCGACCGCGACCAGAGCAGAAACCCCAGTGCTCAA